TAACTATGCCAATGTTCCTTTTTAGCTAAATTCGAAATTTAACCATTATATATATAATAGAATAAGCTCAGGGTGTCATCTTTAAGGTCCAACTCGGTTTTGAAGATCTTAAAACGATTCAGTTATTCCAATCAAATATTAAAAATATTTATATTCAACTTATATTGATAAAAAATTTAATTGATTTAATTCCTCAATTTGAAAATTACATACAGGGTGTAAAAATTTTAAGGTTTTGAGTGTTTGTGGCATCCTTTAAGCCTATAATTTTTTACTATTATTTTCCCCCAAGCAGAACCTAGATAGCTTGCAATCAAATCTCTCTTTTATAGCCTATCTATCCCCATAGTTCGTTCGTGCGACAAACAAATATAAGTTGATAAACTTCAGAAACAGGCTTACTGTTTATATTGTCCCTATAGATCTGGTTTGCATGTTTCGTCTTTGCCCAAAACAAAGCAAAGCACCATAACGAAAATAAAACGTAGTTCACTTCCATAGCTTTCTTAAGGACATGTTTTTCTCGGTCTCCTTCTTCATCACCTTTGCCACCGCCATCTCGAAATCTTCCTGTGTTACATGGACTCTCCTTTCCCTCAGAGCAAACATCCCTGCCTCAGTGCAAACTGCCTGCGAAAACAAGCACATAGAAGCTACTTGGTAAGATGTTCGATAAATCAAAAACCAATGGTCGTGCAAAAACAGAGCATTCAGATTATCCGACTTATGTACCAAAAACATCTTAAATCTGTTAAGAGTTCATGCCTTGTAGACGTGGAATAACCCTAGCATACATGACTGTATACCAAATTGTGAAGAAAAAATCCATTTATTTATTGTCAACAGGCCAGGCTGGGTCTACGGGTTTTGAATTTTTTAAAGCATAATCATATTAATAAGTGCCATCCAAGGTGATGCAAAGATATATTCCCTTTATCCAGGAGTCAGACACAATTTAATTAATTATTGGCAAACATACCTTGAGCTCTGCACCAGAAGCACCGTTCATCTTCTCTGCAATCTTCTTTAGATCAATCCCCCGCATCAAATTCATTCTTCTAGAATGTATTTTTAAAATGTCCTGACGAGACTGCATAGAATTGAATAGACAACATAACACTTATATAAGCATTATATAGCATACTCTTTAGCAATAGAAATTTTGGTACAACAGTAGCAGGAAAACACTGACTGCCATTAAATTAAGGCTCTAGTAACTGCAGTCTGCAGGTTCTTCATAATAACCCAAAACAGGTTGATACTAGTGGCAGAAGAACATGAAAAACTTCCTTACTGAAAATGTTTTCTTTAAAACGAACTCTAAAATGACAGAACATGTAATGCTATCAATGCCGCATAACCAAAAAGTTAAAGTCATGAGATTTTGTTTTTGGAGTTCAAATGGCAACCCACTTCATGCCTTTTCTTCTTCACACATAAGAACAAGGTGAAAATGAAGGAGTCACATTATATTCCCCTAACATGATAATGACCACTAAAGTATGTACCTCCTCATTCGGATTTGGAAATTCAATCTTCCTGTCAATGCGTCCTGGCCTAAGAAGAGCTTGGTCCAAGATATCAATCCGATTTGTAGCCATCAGAACCTGTTCATCAATGCACCAAAATAGGTAAAGTAAGCAACAAAAATAACTGGAAGCAAACTAAAACAGTCTCTTAATTCAGCAATCAGGTATCCAGCAAAGTAATTAATACCTTTATCTTGTTTGATGCTTCAAATCCATCAAGCTGATTGAGAAGCTCCAACATGGTCCTCTGCACCTCACTGTCACCATTGCCACTTCCAGATTCCATTCGTGCAGATCCAATACTGTCTATCTCATCCATAAATATGATTGATGGAGCATGCTCCCTAGAGAGGGAAGGGAAAGTGAAGAAACCGCATTATGTAAACAAAGAATTATAACCCAAAGTATAACAGCATGGCAGATAATAAGACAGAAGCACCTCTACTTTGTGTTTCAGGTTACATAAGATCTCACCATTGGCAAATGACGGATAACAGATGACGAGTAACTATCCACAATTTCATTTTTTTTTAAATATTCTTTCTTAATCACACTCAAAAACAAAAAGGGTTCTGAAATAATTTTTGTATATTAATACCTTGCTAGTATATATAGCATGTTTTGCTTTGTATTTGCATTTGTCTAAATTCAGAACAGGGAAGAAGAACAAACCTGGCCATAACAAAAAGTTCTCTAACCATTCGAGAGCCCTCTCCAATGTATTTCTGAACTAATTCAGAACCAGAAACCCTGATGAAAGTACAATCAGTATGATGGGCCACAGCTCTAGCCAGTAGAGTTTTTCCTGTACCAGGTGGTCCATACAGCAGGACGCCCTATAATTTATAACAGGGAGCAAGATTTAATCTTAGAATGTTATTACAAGATAAACAAACTCACAAAATATTAGGAATGTTAGCATTATTGTACCTTTGGTTGAGCTATTCCAAGGCTTTCAAACAATTCAGGATGTTTAATTGGAAGTTCAATGACCTGCAAATTTTATTGCATGACCAATCCACAACCATACATGGGATTAATAATTGAGAACCATAAAAGAAACGAGAAATCAAAAAGTGATAAGCCATAAAATGAACAAATTAAGAAAATGCAAGAGAAACCTCTTTTATCTCTTTAATTTGTTGGTCAAGCCCACCAATCATGTCATATGTAGAATCTGGAACTTTTTCAACTTTCATAAGATTAACCAAGGGATCAACTTTGCTTGGTAAAACCAGATGCAGAACATAGCTGTCATTACGAAGGGCAACTCTTGTTGATGGAGTGATTTTTGTGATATCAATATTCTTATCAATATCGACAACATATTTTCCTTCGGGATGAACCTGGAGAAGAAATAACAATATAACAGCAAAGTACAATTGAAAGAGACACTCAATAGATGACATCATGAATTGCAAAATAAGAAGAAAAAAAATGAATTATCTCAAGTTTAAGTAGCTTTTGCAGAAACCAAATAGGGATAAATGATCACATACCTTGACTAAGACTTTGTTTTTACCCATAACTTTCACAACCTCGCCAACATAGGATCCAGGCTCCTGAAGCAGCTGCAGCTCCTCTCTAAGCATTCTCACTGTCCAATATGCAAACATAATTAGTACGTACACAAGAAATAGAGTAAATGAATGAATGCACCAAAAAGAAAGATAACATTCTCCTAAAATACATCTTCTTCCCAAAAAATTAAAGCCCCATATATGCATATGTTTTCAAGTTAAGGCCATCATAAACAGAAGGCCAGTAACAAAATCTCGTGATATTTGTATCAGATGCTCTATCCAAGTAAAAATGCAACAATATTAAAAAAAACATCCCCGCCCACCCCCTTTTCCAATTAAAAGAATACACGACAGGTAAAAATGGAAATAAAAAGAGAAGAAGATTACAAAGCAAAGTGCCAACAATCAGCAATATGACCATTCCATTCAAACCACACAAAATTTCCAGCCTTAGAGAAAACGTATAACACATTTATCAATTCACCCTATTCACAATATCCAATGATGACTTATAGCTATGTTGTTTACTTGCAAAAGATTGAAGCCTTCAAAATTAAACATATATTTTGCATAACCAATTAACTTTCAGATAAAACTCTTCTAGGTGTGTTGCATTGAAATATGTAATGAAAATTTCAATTTAATTCCATCGCACCAACAAAAAAGTTGCGTCAGATCTAGAACAAAGCCAAGCAGAGTTCCAAGCTCAAATATTTCATCAACCCCGGAACCCTACTCTCCTAGTACCCGGCAGAGTAATCACCACCTTAACCTCTACAAATTACTAAACCAATAATCTTTTTTCTACTACGACTAACCTTTTTTTCAACTAAATATTAACATTTTATTACATATCAAAATACCAAGGTAAACCCTAACCCCAAATCGGCAATCTCAAGTCTCAACCAACCCATAAATGAAAAACAGACCCAGGAATCGAATACAATAAATCAAAGTAAGAAAAATAAGATTAGGGTTGGAGGACCTCGAGAATTGAGCTCATTCCGCTGGGCTTCGAGACGGTTGAGATTGTGGGTTTTTTGGCGGAGATTGAGCTGAAACTCGTGGATGTGTTGCAGATAGTATTGGCGGAGGCCTTCTCCTTGCTTGGCTCCGCTCTTGGCCGCACACAACTCTTCGGCAGATGCCAGTTGCTTCCTCTCGATACCCACCGTCGCCATTGAGTTTTGATTGTGGGTTCTTGCTTTTGGTCACTGCAACCGCATTCTAGTACTTTTATTGACGTGTTTTCTTTGACAAGAAGTTTTGATTTAGATTTCGAAAAATGCAAAAAGGGTAAACTACACCAAATACCACTAAACTTTAAATGGCTTCTCGTTTAATTCCTTAAACTTTTAATTGTTTCAATTATAGCATTAAATTATTAAAAATAACAATTTGAGTATTTTTAAATATTTAATGCCAAAATTGACTTTTTTAATGCCGAAACGTAAAATAATAATGATTAAATTGATGAAACTATAAATATTAATGATTAGATGTACAATATGACCTTTAATTGCAAAATCATTATAGACGTGGACGTGGGAAAAGTCTGAACTCTGTCGCTGTCCCTCTTACCGGTAGTACCGAATCAAACAAACTGATTTTGCTTTACATCCCCACAAGTATTCATTTAGATCGCTGTTTTCTCAAATATCTCCTTCTTCATGTTCCATGCCGGTGACTAATCTGTTTCCATTTTATCTCTTTAATTCATCATTATGCTGCTAGATTTGCTTTTTCTCTGGTTTTTACGTTAGATTATAATAAGATTCTCAGGTAACACATCCCAACTTCTTCCCATGAAGCCTTTTTTCCAGTAATCCTATTATGATCCCCATTAATGCATCTGCCATTGTCAATTTTGTTTAAGATCTATTGCTTTTTTTTTGAACTTTGGGTGTTTGTTAAAAATTAAAATCAGAATCATTTTGGGAGAAGAAAAATGACAGCCATCGGATTTGATTACAGTAAACAATACTACGCTGCAAGCAGCTTGGTAATCGGTTATGCACTTTGTTCAAGCTTACTCGCTGTTATAAACAAATTTGCAATCACCAAATTCAATTACCCAGGCTTATTAACTGCATTACAGTACTTAACTTCTGTTTTAGGTGTCTGGGTTTTTGGAAAGTTTGGTTTTTTACATCGCGATCCTTTCAAATTCGATGTAGCCAAAAAGTTTTTGCCTGCTGCTGTTGTCTTTTACCTTGCGATTTTCACAAACACCAATCTTTTGCGCCATGCAAACGTAGATACTTTCATAGTGTTTAGATCCTTGACACCCCTTTTAGTTGCCTTAGCTGATACAGTGTTTAGGAGGCAACCGTGCATTTCAAAGCTGACATTTGTGTCTCTTTTGATCATTTTGGGTGCTGCTGCTGGGTATGTAGCTACTGATTCAGCTTTTAATTTGACTGCATATTCATGGGCGTTTGCATATTTGGCCACAACTACCACAGAGATGGTTTATATTAAGCATATGGTGATGAATCTTGGGTTGAACACTTGGAGCTTCGTGTTGTACAACAACTTGTTGTCCTTGATGATGGCACCCGTGTTTTGGATTTTGACCAGAGAACACAGTGAGGTGTTTGCAGCTTTGAGAACCAATGGCGGGGATTGGTTAGAACCCGTGGCGTTCACTGCGGTATCATTGTCGTGTTTGTTCGGTTTTCTAATTAGTTTTTTTGGATTCGCGGCTAGGAAGGCAGTCTCTGCCACTGCATTTACCGTGACCGGTGTGGTTAACAAGTTCCTTACAGTTGTGATCAATGTATTGATTTGGGATAAGCATGCCACCCCTTTCGGTTTGGTTTGTCTCCTCTTCTCGCTGTTCGGAGGGGTTCTTTATCAGCAGTCAGTGTAACCCCTAGACTCGGTCTATGCATTTAGACTAAGTCTAGTGAATCACATTCATGATTATTAAAGATATTATTCCGAAACCATTATTCAATTATAGTAAAATCACATTATAAATGACGTTTAAGAAATTATAATAATATATGCTAACAAAATACAAATCATAAATATAATGAATAAAAACAAATTAATTTAAACATGTCTTAAAAATCCAAATTTACGATAAACCAAATATAAGTAGCAAATGAGTAGTCTTTATAAAATCCAATACTTTAAAATAAGGCACATGTTACCAAAATAAATTCAACTTAAAAGATAAAACATTACAATACGATATACTTCAAGAGATATGTTGATCCTCCAAGTGCTCGATCAGGTGTATCTAACCAACAATATATGAAAGGGGAAAACATTTTCGAAAAGTGAGCTAGGCTCAGTGTGTCCCAACATTACTATAAAATCATGATAGGTACACTAAACAAATCATAGTCAAGTAAATCTCATAAAAACTGTACTGCAGTAAATCTCATAAAAGAGTTACCCTAAGTGAATATCTTAGGGCCTGAGAGCCTACCCAATATAGATTTTGGGGTTGTGGGGCCTATCTAAGAACACATTTTAGGGTCGCAGGGCCTACCTGAGAATGATCTCAGGGCCGCAGAGCCTACCTAAGAGTCACATTAGGTCCGTAAAATTTTCCAGCTTGATCAGAGCCGTACTTTATAAATTTGTATTTCAAAAATTCAATTGCACCGTGACATAAATTTCATAAATCCATAAACACGGTAATCATATACTATTTCAAAACAAAATCAGATAGCGATCATAATCCATAAACCATCACATTAAATCGGTGCATCAATAAAACAATAACCAAAGAATTCAATGTACCACTTATTAAAACAAATAAAACAGTTCAGTAATAAATAGGGAACACACCTCTATGATAGGTTCAAGTAGTAGATCTACTGATTGTTGGTTTCACCACGTTCTGCTACAGTTTTCGAACCTAATTTATAATAACACTATATTACTAATGGGTAACATAATTAATCTCTAAAAATCATAAAATTTACGGATCTTACGGGTGAATACTGGCACACGTGGTTTAACTGATCTAGAAGAGCTGGGTCGAGCTGTCGAACGATCCGGAGAGTCTCTTGTACCTTCAAACAATAATAATTTATTAGCCCCAAGTCTTAATTAATTGTTCAAAGCTAAATTCTTAAGTATATAAGCATTTTCCGGGTTTGACTATCAATTTGGAGGATTTCGAGTCTGAATTTGACCAAACGAATTGCGGAATCAGGACGTCGAAAAACATAAAGTATGACTTTTCAAAAATTCAAATTCTTGGTCAAAATCAAAGTCAACGGGTTTGACTGATGATTTGGAAGCCTTCAAGTTCAAATTAACAAAACGGACTTCTGAAACGGATTCGGCATGTCGAAAAATGTCAGAATATGTATACTCGAACAAAATCAAAGGTCGTTTAATGGCCGTTTAAAGCCGGTCAAAGTTATGGTAAAAGGGGTTCAATAGTCCACATTCGAAAATTACCAAAATGTCACATTTTTCAAAATAATTCCCAGAATGTCACCGGGTCGGGTCGGGTCAACGGGTCGGGTCAGACCGGTCAACCCGGTTCAGATCGGTCAAACCGGTCAACAATTAAACTGCAATTCGAATCTTCCCCACGCGTAGGGGTGGCGCGTAGGGGCGCGTGAGACCGCCTCTGGCCTCCAAAAACTTATGCAAAAATTTCCAAAAATTCTTTTAAGTTATTTTGAGACACTTACCAACCTCGGTTCAAATTTTTGAACGGTGGAGAGCTCGATTTAACTCGGCCGAATCTTTGACCGTTCCACCTCCCACACGCGCCGTCGCCTACGGAGACAAGGACGACACCGTCGGACTCAGAACGACACCAGGAACACGATGGTGCGAGAAGTGTCGAAAACCGATCAACGATCGAAGATGAATTTAAGATTTTCCCGACGGTGGTGCTAAAAAAACGTCGATACTTTGACTCAAAATTCACGTCGTTTGGCAGCGTTTCGCTATAATTGGTTTACTGGGTTTTGATCACGGGTCGACGATGAACACGATGACGGTTTCAATTTGATGATTGGAAGTTGGACGACGTCGGAATCGGGCTTTGAAAGTAAGTGCACGGGAGGAGGAAATTTTATAATTTGCTTGTATTTTATGATTTTGAAATCAGAAAACACGTTTGGTTTATAATCAAACCTGTCGACATTTATTGGAGGAATTCAGGGCTTGGTCTCTTAATTTCCTTCAACTTCAAAAATAACCTATAAATTTTCATAAATTTTATTTTAGTCACTAAACTTCTCCAAATTACACCGATTTTTTTTCTCTCGGGTTGTTACAGTCAGTCCACCAGACAGCCACCTCACAACTCAACAGCATCCAGGCAAACCCGTGATGCAAACGATAACGCGGATTATGAAGGCAATCAAGGTAAGGTATGCCTGGTAAACCTGCTTCTGTTTGACCCACACTGAAGAGTGAGTGTTTGAAGTTTTGGATCCCTAATATTCCTAAATTTGAAGGTACCTTTGTGTAGGTCTCACAATTCCCGTATCAGAATTTAAAATCACGGTTAGCCCTTTAGCATTTTGGTGATTTGTCAATCATCAACAATATTATGGCATTCTTTGTTGCTTCATCATGTACTAGTAGTGGTTGCAAATTTTCTCCGTATATGATGAATGGTTCATTAAATTTGAGGCAATTACTGTTCGAACATTTTTCAATCTCTTCAAAACTTGGGAAACTTTTAGTGTCTTTTCAGCATAAATTGATAAACATCGAACATTTTCATCTACTATTGTTGCAGGATCATGTATCAGATCATGCATTTGAAAGTAAAGTACAAGTCATGACCACTTGATTGCGCAAAGGTTTCACACTTGAAATCATTAATAGCACCTTCAGCATCGTAAAAGATATATCTCAGCTTCCACATACAGAGGCGCAACTTTTCGTTGCAGTGCTGTTGCCACTGAGCATCCAAGAGCACCGCGTTAACGCTGCTCATGGTCTGCTCCTGTTTACTCAAATGGGTTTTGACATTAACTGCCAAGTAAGCACTCTCTGCAATAGTGGACAGAAATGTTTTAGCCATTGTTGATCTGTAAGAGAAACGAAAGAAGCACTCAAAAATGATTGTCTTGTGTTTTGGTGAAACATTTTCTTCGTCAGCATAAATTTATAATGGGCTATAAGCAAGGGATTCCATTCTTTTTGTCTCTAGCTTTTCCTTCTTAAATCTATGCGACAAGCAGCTTGGTAGTTGATTATGCACTTTGTTCAAGCTTGCATGCTGTCTATGTTACCACTAAAAAGTTAAAGAAACTCCACTGACTACGACAATGATTCTCATATTTGATCTTTCCATTCATGAAGAAGTCATTCCCCGGTTTCCAGATCGAACAAAAAACAGACAAAAAGGAAAAAGAGAGGAGAAAAATAAAAATGCGTTTGCCGGGAGTCGAACCCGGGTCTATTGCTTGGAAGGCAATTATCCTAACCGTTGGACTACAAACGCTTGATGGTAATGGTAGAAAAAAAAATATATAACATAAAATAATTATAAATTGTTATTTGTTTATATCCATGTTGCCTTCCTTTTTTTTTTGTAACATAATCGTATTTGAGATGTTTTATATATTTTTAAATTTTAAATAAATTTTGACACATTATATTCGTATCACATTTTTATAATATTAAATTTTAGTTTAAAATTCAAATTCAATAAAAAGCATGAAAGACAAATTCACTCCAATGGTTTAAGCTGTTATATGTGCTTGATGCATATTGATTAATGGACATTTATGTTGTTAAATTTGTATTAATTTGGGTTGAGGAATTAGATTGCCCTTCAACCGCCTTCGTTCATTGAATACTATTATGGTCCAATCAATCCCATTGCTTCTATTGGCATAAATTACATCAAATGTGACTTCTCATATTGATCATATTTTCAATAACGGATGATAGTGACAGAAATAAAAATATTTTTAAAAATGTATAAATATATTCTAATGACATAAATTTTTTGAATAAGATACCTACAAATGAAATTTTAAAATAAGTATCATTAATAAAATAAATAATTAACATAAAAAATTCAAATTTTACGATAAACATATACTCGTCTTAAAATACATAAACATCCACTGTTGTTTATTAAATGAGACTTGTGACTTGTGAGCATATCATGGCTGATCCATCTTTAACACCCAAATTGGGATTTCGTGTCTTAAAATCCCAAGAATTATTTACATTTATTGTATGCATTCTAAGAATATAATTCTTTAAATATCTTTTAAGTATTTAAAAATTTTAATATATTTGTATCGAATGTATATTCATTTTTATACTCACCGACTTTAGCTCTAAAACTCGTGTATTGTATCTGCCAAACTCATGTTGGTTAAATTAAAGATCATAAAGGTCATCGTGAATAGGGTAAAGTTTAGGTGACCTATGTGAATAAATTATCCTCTTGTTTATATGAAGAACCCAATGTGCAATGAGCCTTTTTTGGCTATTTTGAAAAATATTAATTTTTTTAAAGATCATTTTATAATAATTTAATAGTAATGATTATTTTGTAATTTTTAAAAATTAATGATTAAAACAGTTAATTATCTTAACATGATTTAATGATTTTTTTGTTCTTTGTTTATTATATAATATATATTAATTTTCTGGAAAAGAAAAGAAAAAGTCGGCCTGGCCACCATTCAGTTCGCCACGTGTTAAACCTCTAGGCGATTGAACATATATTATAATTAGACTAGGTGTTAAAATAATAAAATCATGAGCTTATCCCCCATTAACCAATGCATTTGGCATCTATGGATAATGGGTTTGAACTTTTAAATGAAACTTTCAACTTCAGTCAACACATCATATATATCGTTAAAAATTAAAAAATAATAAAAACAAAAAAAGCGACTCCTTTTGTTTCGTCGT